TTTTGTGCTTTGTGATTGACTTCTTTATCTTCTCTTGATATCACACTGTGGCTGAGTTGGAGCTAACTTGTGTGTGTGTGTGTGTCCTTTAAATGGGAAATCTTCGTTTTTTCTTTTTTTTCTTGTATATGACTTGAGTTTGGAGCAGCAATAAATAATAGATTTAGGGGGCAGGGTTTGGGCACCAATATCACCTCATCTTTTATTTAATGGTTTTTTTTGGTCTTGACTTGTGATTTCATTGGTTTGGGGGAGCAACTGTTTTGGGAACTCCCTCCACTGATATAATAATAAGTGGTATAGAAGCACTTTGTCTACAACTTTGAATCTCTGAGGTACTGAGAGTTAAAAGGATTCGCCTTCATTCACGTATCTAGTATGTATCAGAAGTAGGATTTGAACCTGGGATGAAACTTCTTGATGTAACAGTTCTCCATTCACTACATTGTTTCTTTGATTATCTGTTATTATTAACGGCTCAAATTTGATTCCTGATAATCAGAACAGTCTTCTTTCTGCCCGTCTATGAGGACAGCCTGGACAACTTAACCTTTCATTTTCTGTTGCCTTCCAGCTAAACTCTGACAAAAACTTGTTAATTAGAACCTAACTGGAATACTCAGAATTTTTTTCTGTATTCTATTTGTAGAAAGAACAAATCATAAGATGAAGTTAATGTAGGATAAATGTGAATCAATTTCATATATAAGATAGGAGAGGTATACCTATATAGCATTTCTGAAAAAAGACCTGGGTGGTTCAGTGTACTTATGTGGATAGTTGATTTCTGTACTTTTTATTAGGATTTTCTTTTAATTGTTTATCATGGAAACTATTTAAGTGGAGAATTTTTAGTATTTCTGGAGATACTTAGTTGAGCTTTGGTAATGTAAGTAAAGAAATTGAGAAAAAAATGCACATTTTATGTTATAGTGCTTTTTTTCTATGTGTTGTAAACATTTTTAATAGGACAATTTTTATTCCACATTTTCAAATAAATTTGAAATAGTTTTATGTGAATTTAGTGTTTGTTTCAGAGAAGAAAGTTGAGTGGAAAATTATCCAATACTCATGAGTTGTATTTCCCTTTAACCATTCATGCATAATCTTGCTTTGATCAAGGTCATTGGCTTGTTTCCAATATGGTAATTTTTCATATTTCCAAAGGAACACAAGTTGAGTTTCTCAGTTTAACAGAAGGAGAGACTCAGTCATGGGACAGAAGCCCCAAAATACTCAGCTTATTAGCTAATAGATTTATTTTTTCTTTTTCTTACTCTTCAATTTTAAAGGTAATGTGCTACATATTTCTGTTAAAGTAACTTTCTACTGAATTTTTATATTGGTTCCAGAATTTAATTGTTAGCAGATAGTTAGAAAGTCCCCTCAAAGACTAATCTTGTAAAATCAAAAAGCCTAAGACATGTTTCAAAACTAATTTTAATCTAGGTCGTAGATTTTGACTCACTACTTGTATTTGTGGGTTTATAGATAAAGTGAATCTTGCTAATAATAATACTTTCCTCTTAAAGTATTTACTGTCATCTTTTTCAGATTTTTCTTGTCCTGTTTTGTGGTATGGTTCATTTTTTTTCTATGCTGTACTGTCACTTCAGTTAAGGGAAGTTTTCCTTTGTATCTCATTTGTGACTTAGGTAGCATTAAAGTTTTTCTCTTTCTCTTCCATTATTATTGTTATGGCTGAAAAAATGTTTTAAATAATTTTAGATGTCATTTTGGGAAATAAGTAAATGGACTACCCGCTCCTCTTGTAGACAAGGAATTATGTTTATCCCAGGCTACTCTTAGTGTTAGGTGTTAAATTCTTCATATATCTTTAGATTAGTTAAACCTGTCGAAAATATCCCAAGACTTTATTTAATATTCTTTCTCAAATATAAAAGGACAAATGCCTAGTTTTTAAAATCTTGGATAAGGAGCTATGGAATTACCAAAGAGTTTGATGAACGCATTTTATTTTGTGGTTCAGTCAATACCCTTCTTGAATGCTAGAATTGGAGCCAGCCAACCTGGGCTTGAATCCCAGCCCTGCTATTTAACTACTTGTGTGACCTTGGAGAACTACTTTATTTCTCTGGCTTCAGTTTCATCTTCTGTAAAGTGAGTGGTTTAGACTAAGGTTTCATCTAGCTCTAAAACCATGGAACTGAATAAGATAGTATATTTGGATATGTATAGAAATCTGAAGATGGAAAGCAGTGTTAAAGAATGAAATGGAGAGGCAGATCGTAGAATTGAGTCAGCATAAAACAAAATGGAAAATTTTTTTCAACTTTCATACAGAAGGTCTCTACACTGTACTTCCTCTGTCCTGGCCCAAGGACTAGAAGCTGTGCAGAAAAAAATGTAGCAATACTAGGAAATCTTGGCCCATAGAAATCATTGTACAGTTATAATTTGTCTGTTGTTTATCCAATAGATTATCTAGAGGCTTTGTTAATATTTTCCTAGCCTCATACCTGGTGGCCAAATTATTCAGACAGTTCTTGGTACTTTCAGTTTTTGCCTTGAACTTGACACAAATTTAAGAATTATATAAATGGATCATCATTATAATAAAATGGTTAGGTAATGCTAGTGATAGGGTCATAATTGTCTATTATTCAGCCCAAGTTCTGTTAAGGGATGGACCTTGTTCAATATCCTGTACTAGACATAATTTTATTATGTGAAATAACCTGTTGTTAATTATGTTGGGCATTAATTACCTGTTTTTCCTCTTCTTTCACTTCCATTCAAACATTTATTAAGCATCTATGTGCAAAGACACCGTGTTAGGCAGTCTAACAAACATTTGAGGGCCTACTGGAGGGCATATCCATCATGGAGGATGCAGAGAACCGTTAAAGTATCTCAGCTTTTGAGATGCTTTAACTTTTTTGAGGGAGGAGAATGTGAAAAAATCTGTCTACATTAAGAAAGCATCATTACCAAGTAACTAGTGAGACAAGCAAATGATGCTTTATTAATCATGACAGTGGTGAGTGACTTGCCCAAGGCTGCAGAGCCAAGGCCAAAACTGAGGTCCCCTAATTTCCAGCCCTTTGCTCTTATACAATTTGGTAAATTAGTGATAATTCTAGTTTTCCTTCTTTTTATCCCCTCCTGCCCAGTCCTCTTTCCACAGCGCAAAAAAATATGCAATATACTGAGGAACAGTGCTAATAAAAGTCTATAATCAGAATTTTGCTTTTAATCCTTGGTTTTTTTTGTCAAAATAAATTCTCACATTGGCTGTGTTGAAAAAAGTATGTCTCATTTGCATATTGTGTCCTCTGTTGGGAGGTATCATTGTTTATCCTTGTTTCTTTCAATTATGGTGGTCATTGCTACATTAATCAGAGTTCTTATGTCTTTCACAATTGTCTTTACAATGTTTTAAAATTTTTTTCTCTGGTTCTGATCATTATACTCTACATCAGCTTATGTAGGTCTTCCCAGTTTTCCCTTAAACTGTCTCTTCATTTCTTAGAAGCAGTGATGTCAAACACAAATAGAAACAGGATTCCTGCAGGTCACATATTGATTTAGGAAGGCACAAATTAATAGTCTATGTTGTATTTTTATTTATTTTGTTAAACATTTCCCAATTACATTTTAATATTCTTGAGGCTGCACTTCCTGATTTTGATACCTCTGACTTAGAGCATAGTAATATTCCATTATATTTGTATAACATAATTTATTCAGCCATTCCCCAGGCTCCTCCCCCCTCCCCCCCAATCCCCAGCTTTTAGGTCTTGGTTGCAACAAAAACAGCTGCTAGAAATATTTTTGTGCATATATATAACCTTTTTCCTCTTTCTTTGGGATATAGGCCTAGAAGTGGTTGCTGGGTCAAAGGATATGTATAGTTAAGTAACTTTTGGGCCATGGTTCCAAATTATACCACTTCACTGCTCAGGTTGAGATATTTAGAAAGTAATCCAAAATGTAGATAGATTAGGGAGTATGAACTTCAGAATAATTGAATGTCGATTGCCCTAGAATGTTAGGCTGAGCCCCTAAAATAAAATCTCTTTCAAGGGAAAAAATGCGTAGGCCTTTTCAGGGCAGCAGTACTCATTATAGGGTAGACTCAGGTTTATACAAGCCATTCAGGAGGAAAAGTGTTGCCTATATTTGGACCAGTAAGCCACTTTGCTCAGTAGCTAACGTTTATAGCATGCTTTATGTGCATTATTACATTTGATACTCACAACCACTCTGTGAAAGAAGATGCAGTTAGCCCCATTTTATAGGTCAGGAACCTGAGGCCCAGCAGTTAAGTGACCTGCCCAGGGTCACTTCAGTTCAAGTTTAGCACTCTATCCACTGTGTAACCTTTGATTTTTCTAGAAGTGCAATCATCTTAACTTTAATCCCTTACTCTGAAAAAGTTTAATCCCTTACTGTAGTCTTATCTCCCTGGGCACATTTGCTGCTGTAGTCACTACTGCAACCACACTGTCCTTAGCCACACCTCTGAGTTTTCTCCTTTTGGAATGCACTTTACTTTTCTCTTTTGGCGAGGCAAATCAGTCCCATCGTTCCCAAGGCAAGTTCCATCTCCAGTGAAACCTCCTTTGCCTGCTCCAACCCTCACTGATGGTACTCTCATGGATCTTTTATAGAGTATTTTGTAGAGCACTTAACCATCAGCTGTCTTGTGTTAGTCTTCTGAAATTGTTTCATGTTCATTAAGGTTATTTTCTCTACCAGGTGGGTTGTAACTCCTTGAAGGTAGGAGCTTTGTCGTAAACATCTGCAGCTGCTGTGGTGCTTTATGCAGTTCAGCTTTAGGCAGGTAGCATGGGTTAACAAATAGGCATTGGTTTGATAAGTTTTACTTTACTTTAGGGTTGAATCTAGAAAATGTGCAAATGTAAATATTCTGTTGAGGTAAGAACATGCCAGAATTATTTGTTTGCAGCATTATAAAAAAATGGGTATGTATGATCCATGATGACTAAAAACTTGTGACTTTGCATTTATTTTAGTGCCAAGGAATATGTTGAATGGCAGCAAGATTAACAACTTCACCTCATTACCATCTGAACAGCTCATTTTGGATTGATGAACAGCAACAGAAAATGTAGGACCTAGATTTATAACTGTTTAACTGTTTTTGAAGGGGCGCCCTGGCTGTATCCTACAGTTTTGGTATTTTTTCATTGTTTGTTCTAGTTATGTACACTTGCACATGCAATTTAAATTCATGTTCCTTTTTCTTTTTTAATTTTCACATTGGCCATGTTATAAGGAAGAATTAGAACCAATAGGAGGAACCATAAGAAAGAGGAAACAAAACTGAAGAAAAAAAAAGCAACGGGTATGCTTTAATCTGCATTCAAACTCTATAGTTCTTTCTCTGGATGTGGATAGCATTTTCCATCATGAGGCCTCTGGAGATGTCTTAGATTCTTGTATTGCTGAGAAGGGTTAAGTCTATCATATTAGTTATCGCACAGTATGGCTGTTACTGTGTACAACATTCTCTTGGTTCTGCTCACTTCACTCAGCATCAGACCATATAAGTCTTTCCAGGTTTTTCTGAAGTCAGCCTGTTCATCATTTCTTCCAGCACAATAGTGTTCCATTACATTCATATACCACAACTTGTTCAGCCATTCCCCAGTTGATGGGCATCCTCTCAATTTTCAATTCTTTGCCGCCACAAAAAGAGCTGCTATAAATATTTTTGTACGTGTGGGTCCTTTTCCCATTTTTATGATCTCTTTGGGATATAGCCGTAGAAGTGCTATTGCTGGGTCAAAGGGTATGCACATTTTTATAGCCCTTTGGGTATAGTTCCAAATTGCTCTCCAGAATGATTGGATCATTTCACAACTACACCAACAGTGCATTAATGTTCCGATTTTCCCACGTCTCCAATATTTATCATTTTCCTTTTTTGTCATATTGACCAATCTGATAGGTTTGATGTGGTACCTCAGAGTTGTTTTGATTTGCGTTTCTCTAGTCAATAATGATTTAGAGCATTTTTTCATATGACTATAGATAGCTTTAATTTCTTCATCTGAAAACTGCCTGTTCATATCCTTGGACCATTTATCAGTTGGGGAACATTCCTTTTTTTTTAACCAAATGAATTAAATTAAAATATTTAGATGTTCATTTTGATTACTAACGTTAAGAGAACTAAATATTTACTAGGCAGAATTGTTTAGTTCCATAACTTATGTAAACATTGACATTGGTTACAAAATTTGCTTTAAAGGTTGAGGAAAATTGAGTAGTTTGTAAGTTAGCATGAAAAAGATTTCTCAAATAGATTTATTTGACCTTTCTATTTATCAGTACCCCAGTGTTGAAATGAAAGTAGATGTTTGTAAACTGCTTAAGTTTGTCTGGTTGAGTTGGAACAGAAAAATTCTTTTTGATAATTTCTGTTTCATTTTTACAATGTTTTTTAAACTCTTTTTCTCTATGCTTATTAATGCTATAGGACAAATCGAAGTTCTAGAAATGTCAATTTTTTAAAATGACCCTGTTGAAGAGGGTCTACTTACTGTGTCTTAGTTTGATTGATCTTTCTCCAAGTTTTGGGTCCCTGCCTTTCATTGGAAGAGTTTCTGACTGATTATACTGAGAATTTCAAGTTTTTAATGTGGTTGTATGTGTTGTAAATACAGGATGAGGGGTATATGATAGTGCAGATTTATGTGCTTGCATCATTATTCTCCTTTTGTGGGCAGATGTAATGCACAATGCACACGCGGCACCAAAGTGCCATTCCCTATGCTAAGTAGTGCAGTGGCAACACTAATTAGACTTTAGCTTCTCAATGCTAAAAGAAAATCTGATTAATTAAAGATTGTGTGCACATTAATTTATAATATCTGTTGGACAGTACGAACATCAGTCCCACTAGGAACAAACAACTAATCTGATTTCCTAGGCCTTCCCATTTATTGGATCTCTTTACCAGTACCTTTTACTCAAGGTCAAGGTGCCCCTCATTAGAGCTGGAGGCCATGTGTTTCAATGTGGTCTGTCTGGCAAGTCAAGTCATTAAGTCAGTGCTGCCTTCGAGTGAACACTGTCAGGGGCCAGGACATGGAAGAAAGTCTTAGTCTAACCAAGGAGCATGTGGAAGCTTAAGACCTCCTGCTGGATTCCTCATAGTTCTGGCTGTGGATATTAGGTTATTATGCCCACTTTCTGACTGGTTACAGGTGACCTAGTTTGTTTACCTATTAATTTCATTAGCACCTGATAACAAGCTAATGATGAGGTGTCAACAGGACCTTAACAGAGGTTTTCCAAATTTTTCCGTTGATGGTCTGACTTTTCTTAGGGTCCCATATGTTTTTATCAATTGTTTAGAAAGACATTATACTTGTCTTAATGTTGAAAAAGCAAGTGATGAAAAACATCATCAGAATACTTGACCACAAAATGGTGGTGTATACAAAATGGAGTTAATGTGTTAAGACAGTGCACTTGTTCTCACTATAGCATTGTAGACCTGAATATGTATAATACTTATGTAGACTTTGGTTTGGCTCTTAAATTGAGGAATTTTTTTGTATGTGTGCAAGTGTGTGTACATTTATAAAATCAAGCACTTGGAGAATTGGGTTGTTAATTATTTCAGGATGTTCTGATTAACCTTTTCTGTTTCTGTTTCCTTTATTTTGTCTGTAGACTGTTATCTTTACCACTAAATTTGAGGATAGTCAACTTAATTACTTAAGGTTTCCTTTCTTGTTAGTTCATAACAGGAATTTAGTATTACAGTTTATGTAATACAATGTATTCCAGTTTGTTGGATTTTTAAAAACAATTTCTTCATTTCTAGTACCTAGCACATGTGGCACACAGTAGCTATTTCATAATTGCTTGTTGATTGATTGATTCTAATTTCTTACTTGGTTGCTAGCTGGCCTATACTTCTGAAAACTAATTTAATAAGGTATAGTTATTATAGATGGGAATAATTAACTTGTGTAGATAAGTAGGTGGCGTCCATATACTTATTAGCTTTATTCTGTACTTTCTAAAAGAAAAAAAAAACAAACTAATTTTAATTGATGTCTTTTAAAATTATTAGTTTACATAAGATTTAAAAACTAAAATTTAATACTCTTTTGTTTAGGTTTTTGTGAAATAATGCATGTTTTTTAAGAAGAAGGAAAATTCGATATTGGAAAATGTGGATTGCTAAAAGGATGGTAGATAAAAAGAGATATAAGGGATTTTTAAATATTTAAAGCAGCTGAAATCTGTGGAGATAAAAATTGTAATATTTAAAGATATATAGGAGATTCTTGGAGGTGGAACTGAAAGATCTGGGATGGTACAGCAGTTAAAGGTATCCCTTAGTGCCAGAAGAGGTTAATGTGTTGCTTTAGAACATCAGGGCACTATAGATTTTGTGATAAGATGATTCAGGTTTTTGCTAAAACCATTATAACCCATCCATGTTGTAGTGTCTGTTAATATGGTCGGTATGAACTTTGCCACGTACGTATGAAAAGAGGAAAGTTTTAGTTTGCTAATAATTTTTGAATGCCTTAATGACTCTTGAAAATCTCTTTCCTGGAGCAGCTAGGTGGCATAGTGGATAGAGCCCCGGCCCTGAAGTCAGGAGGACATGAGTTCAAATGTGGCCTCAGACCAAACACTTGACACTTACTAGCTGGGTGACCTCGGGCAAGTCACTTAACCCCAATTGCCAAAAAAAAAAAATCTCTTTCCTGCTCTAAAATCCTAATGCTGAATGCTTCAAGAAAATATTTAGAGGCTACCATGGGGAATGAAAAAGGTATATGTCATGTTTTTTCCTTCAGTGTTGTAAATAAAACATTGGATTGTAAAAGTTATATATAAACTACGAGTTTAAACAGTTGGATGTTTCAGCTTTGGAAATTATCTTCATGATTGATGATGAATACATTTTTCCCTTATATTTCCCCTCAATTATGTGTAAAACTTCCCTCCCCTCTCATTGAGAAAGTAAGCAATTTGACATAGGTTGTACATGTACAGTCATGTAAAACATATTGCCATATTAGTCATGTTGTAAAAGAAAACACAGACCAAAAAACAAAAACAAAAAAAAGTATGTTTTAATCTGCATTCAGACTCCACCAGTTCTTTCCCTGGAGATGGATGGCATTTCTCATCAGAAGTTCTTTGGAATTGCCTTAGATCATTGTGTTGCTGAGAATAGCTAAGGCATTCACAGCTGATCATCATACCCTATTGATGTTGTTATGTGCAGTGTTCGCCTGGTTTTGCATCAGTTCATGTAAGTCTTTACAGGTTTTTCTGAGAGCATACTCCTCTTCATTTCTTATCGTGTAATAGTATTCCATCAAAAACATATCATATACCACAACTTTGCCAACCATTCCCCACTTGATGGATATGCTCTCAACTTCCTATTCTTTGCCCCACTAAAAGAGCTGCTATAAAAGTTTTGCATATATAGGTCCTTTTCCTTTTTGTTTTTTTATCTTTTTGGGATACAGACCTAGGAGTGGTATTGCTAGGTCAAAGGGTATGTGCATGGCTTTATAGCCATCTGGACATAGTTCCAAATTGCTGTACAGAATGGTTGAATCAGTTCACAGCACCTCCACTTTTCCCCATATCCCTTTCGATAGATAAATACATTTCTTGAAAGTTACATTGACAATGTCAGGAACAGAATCACAGAATTTTAGAGTTGGAAGAGATCACAATAACCATTTAGTCTGACCCATATCTGTAAAGGAGTCCTCATTGTAACATACCTGCCACCACCCTGGTGCAGGCTCCCATCACCTTATCTGGACTGTTGAAGTGCTTGGTGTCCCTGCCTCAAGACTTTCCCCACTGCAGTCCATCTTCTGTTCAGTTGTCAAATTGATGTCTAAAGTGCAAGTTGGACTATTTCATCTTCCTCTGTTTAATCCTATTTGATCTTTCTCCAGGATTAAATATGAAACCCCCATTTGGCTTTTCAAATATCCCATTTAATCCTCACACCAGCCTTGTGAAGTAGGTGCTGTTTTCCCTATCTTGTAGTTAAGTAACTTGCTCAGAGTCACACAATGAGTGTCTGAGGTCTGGATTTGAATTCAG